TGTCTTCTACGGCACTACATCAACTGCCCAACTACTAATGTCTTGTGTTGAGGCTTTCGCCCAAAACATTATGTACGGTGTTCTGTACGCCTTCACACCTGAGATATTCCCTGCTCCTGTTCGAGGCGCTGGTACCGGCGTGGCTAGCTTCCTGAACCGCATTACTGGCCTCATGGCACCTATCATTGCCGCTACCGTTCCTGGCGATGGTGCTACTACACCTATTATCATGTCTGCAGTCCTTATTTTGTTGGCTTTTATTGGCATTTGTCTCATTCCCATCGAGACAAGAGGAGCTTCACGACTTTGAGTCCTCAACTTTCAACTAAGTGCGGTCCCGCGAGCATAATAGGCACCGCATAACCTTTGTTACAACACACGCATACTAACGACCTGGAGTCAAAGAGTGGTCTTGGGTATAACTTGCATTTCTGATGTCATTTACAACGGGGTTTGGCAGTGCTTTGTATTTCATGCTATAAAGTTGTCTGCATAGAGCACAGATTAACTAGTGATTATTTGAAAAGTACAATAGATATCGATAAGGTTTGTCTATCTGTTACCTTTTGCACCTGCTGGTGCATCAACTCTCCTCTTCCTCAGTGACATTCCCATAGCATCTCTAACCATAGGGTCAGCTCTAATAGTATTCTGTACAAGCCACTCCCTCATCTTGCCCTGTAGATTGGACGTTGCATCATTGTCGCCCTTGAAGGGAGCCATTTCCATATCCAATAGTCGTACAGCATCTCCGTCAAGTTGCTTTGTCAACATTTCAAGGCGATCTAGACTTTGTCTCATAGCCTTTTGGTCGTCTTCCTCAGACTTTTCTGGCCCGGTGATCATGAATGCAATGAGAGGCCCTATTTGGTTCAGAGCAATGTAGAAAGTGATCGTGAGTCTCCGGGCGAGAGAGATGATCTGGAAAGGTAAATATGGTGGCGAAGATGTAAATCGGAGAAGGACGGCGTTGATGGCATTGACAAAGGGTGGAAAGTCTGGACGTGTTACGGCATGGAGCTCGAATACGCAAAGGGCAATCAGAACTAGCCACCGGTAGTATTTACCAAACTCCATATAGCCAAATAAGCCCAGAATGTAAATTGATGCGGCAGCCACAACGTAGTGAGGCAGGATGCCGGAGACAACACCACGAGTAACATAATCTCTGATAGTAACGCATTTCTGCCACCGCGCAATCTCAGGTCCGAAGCGTTCATATGCAAATCTTTTGGCGGTATCTTGTAGCGTATCACTAGCAACCTTTAGGTGCATGAAGAAGGCAGCAGAATCGCCTGCGTCCTTGCCTGCTTTGTCTGGGTGGTGCATGGCAGCCAAGCGACGGAAGCGCGTCTTGATCTCGCGATCAGCAGCATCGAGTGGCACTCTGAGATCTGCATAGTATGAGGATATACGGCGCTGTTCATAGTCCGCTTCGAAGATTGTGTAGCAGAGGTAGGCAGCGACAACGAGGATATGTATGGTGCGTCGATGCGAGTTGTAGCGGGCAGAGCCAGGGGCAGGCTTGGGATCGCCGGCGCGAATGGTAAAGCCATAATAGATGGACTGGAGCCATCCTGTTGCAAGCTATGAAGCGGTTAGCAGGTCAAGCAAGTCCCCAAGAACGAATCTCAAACATTTGGGAGAAAGGCCCAACCTAGCATAGACAAATAGCCAGACATGGTGGGCAGCGGATCATTGGTAGACGTTTAGTGACTTTCGGAATTAGATGTGAGTGTGTTGAAGAGCAAGAAAATTTCGGGCATCAACCAAGTTGAGAATACCTGTGTCGGTTGGTACTTGATGTGGCCAGATTGTACCGTAGCAAGGAAGCTGCAAAGGCTCGCGCTGGCAATTGTTAGTTGGTGTTTCGAGCTACCTTTACAGTGCGTCAGAGTGGGTCTAGAGTCTTACAAGCCGAAGCCATTTCTTTGTCACTGCGCCCATGGCTCTTCAGCTTTAATTATCTACTAACCTTCTAATTCTTCTGCAAGCACTTTCTGACATAGTACGGAAATATAAAAATCTTGAATGCCTGTGTCATATGCTCGCCCTTACACAATGACCGCTATAAATAGTTTAGCGCCTGGTTTAGACGTTGATCCCCGTTTCAGTGTCTAAATGCAGTCATCTCTCGTGAGTCGTGGGTAAACCATCAAACTTAGGATCACTTCTTACCACACTGTTGAAACTACTGTTTGTTGCCTTTACATCAGTCATCATTTCACGGGGTGAATATGCTTAGTCAGGCGAATTCTATCTAATTAACTATAGCTTCGTTTTGCCCGCCGAACGACTCTTTGACTTTCGGACAAAAACTCTTTCTTGCGCATGGAGTCGCAGACTCTACAGTCGGGCTTTTTATAGCTAGAGTTACTTGAGATGCTGTAGCCTAAAGGTAACCTTATTGATTATGATTTATGGCTGCGAAGGCTTGAAGCAACATGCTGGCAGCCATGAGTGTGGTAATTTAAAGTTGAAGATAATGTCACATATATAGCCTTAAGCTTCCTCTGGGGGGGTTCTGCTTTCACTCCCAGTTTCCCCAGACACTACCTTTCTGTTTTTTGTTTTTGTTTGGCCATGCGAGCTTCATTGATATTGGCGTTTGCTACGGCAGTTTTAGCAGCCTGCAATGGTCACAATGAACTTTGCGGGCGAAAATATTCGGACATCACTTTCATTGGGGCGCATAACAGCGCTTTTGTTGGAGAGTTTCCGGTTCACAACCAATACATCTCGGTCTCAGAACAACTCAATCTAGGCGTACGATTCTTGCAGGCTCAGACACGAGAAAAGAATGGTGTTATACAGATGTGCCACACTTACTGCTGGCAACTGGACGCTGGACCATTGCATAACTATCTAGGAGAGATATCAGAATGGGTCAGAACGAACCCAGATGAGGTCGTGACGATACTACTGACGAACAATGACGCCATACCGATTGAAAAGTTCGATGAAGCTTTCAGCAGTGCAGGTCTAAAAGACCTTGTATTTCGTCCCCAGAAGAGGCTTTCTCGAGACGAGTGGCCAACTCTGCAAGAGCTACTTGACGATGGAACTCGGCTTATTGTATTTATGGGTATGCCTTATTGTATTTCTTCGTTTCTTGAGCTCACTAACTATTGTAGATTACTACATGGATGAGAGCAGAGTTGACTACATACTCGATGAGTTCGACTATTTCTGGGAGACTCCATTCGGTGAAACTGACCCCTCGTTTCCAACCTGCGAGGTTGACCGGCCGGAGAAGGGGGATCCAACCGTACTCATGGGGATCATGAACCATATGTTGAATCACGACCTCCTGGGCGTTGTCTTCCCAGATCAGATCGATACAGAGAAGACGAATTCAGAGTATTCTATCCAAAGACAGATAGACCTTTGCGAGGGCAGCTGGGGTAGGCGACCGAATGTCGTTCTTGTAAGTGGTGAATAACCTTAATAAAAGTACATATGTATCTAACTGAATTTCACAGTTGGATTGGGCTAACGTTGGAGAGGCAATGGGCGCCCAGATTTCTCTGAATGGTCTACGAGGATCACACAGTTGAAACCTCGCAAACGAAGGCCGTACTAAGAGTCATGTAGACAGACATCTTCCAGTAAATCCACCGAACTATCTACAGATCAGTATGACTTGTATTCACGCACTGCGATCCAACAGCCACAGTCGGACGGGCTACTTGACTATCAGCGTAATTGTTTTAGTGGTAGACTTGTCCATTGCCATTCCAACAGTATCGTCCCTCAGTACTGATAATCCCCGGTATCAGCAGATCTCAGTGCAATCCTGCCATTTAGTGGATGATTGCTCTAGCCTATCCTCGGGGAGTAAGAAAATATCAGACCTTGATATAGGGTGTTAAAATAAACTCAGTAAAAGGTATCTTGAACTTAGCAAAAGATGTCATAGATTCATGCTAAGTTACCTAGGTCTTTTTGTCGTTGGGGATCAAGGTCCTGAATTTTTTTTCCTTCTCATAGCTTATGCCTCACTCCATCTACCTGTTCGTGGTATGTCAGAAGTTGCTTCGAATCCCCAAAGACTTAGCTCCCCAGGTCGTGCATGTAACTTTTTGCATATTTACCTTGGAATAATTCCGTCGGGCTGTGATCGTCATATCGTGGTTTGTTTTGGCATGGTATTGTTATGTTGTTGGTCTAGAGTGCAAAGCGGTATGTAAAGACTAGCTGTTGATTGGTAGCTTTTGGCTGCGAATAACGGGAGGGAGGATCCAGGGATCATGTACCTGGCTAGCGCAGTCATCCCCTGAGCAAACTCTATTACAATGGATCCGTTGGACCAATAGCGTTATTAGGTACTCAACGGCCAGATGCCTCGTTTTGTTTACCTGGCCCGCAAAAAACAAAGTTAAATGTAATGGATACCCCAGAATACGAGTTTGGAGATTCTTCACTTGCCTGCGTCCTAATACCGGCATGATCAGAGGAAAAGCTACGCGATTCCTGATAATGTATTGCACGGGACTAAGATAAGACATGTTTGAGCCCTCGTCAGAGTCTCAAAGAGCCCCTTTTCATAGACGGAATGCGAAATCTGAATCACTTGGGCTTTTTGCTTATGACGCCTGTAGTACATAGTAGGCAGATGAGTATCTTGACCATATGTCGACCGACTACTCTGTACAGCCTAAGTACAGAGTAGACAAAATGGAATCTTAACTTTCCTGATTGAGCCTGCAATCTCACATCCACTCTTCATTTGGTTATCTATTGGCAACCCAGCCGACGTAAACATCGCACTTCCATCATTTGCCGTCCCCTCGTACAATTCTACCTACACCTCATCTTAGTGGCGCGCCTCCTTTTCCGGCTTTGTCTCCCTGATCTTCCTACCAACCTTAAGCAAATGCTCAATTTAGCATCCAATTTGTGATTTCCTCTAGTATCTCTGGCTTTCTTCCTCCCTCGTCGCCCTCTTTTATTTTCTCTCCTCCATCATCTTATATTTCCCCCACATCCAGACCCATACAATGTTGCTTCGCAAGCTCGGGCATGCCCTGGCTGCGACAGCAGGTAAGTTTGCCCTCTTTTCTGGAAGACGAAATCCTTTCTCTTTTTTTACTGCTGCTGACAAGCACTCCTCGGCAGCTCTCTTTCCAGTCGCTTTTGCCAAAGAAAATGATGAAGGTGGTCAATCCACCTTTGTTTCCCCAGATGGAGACGTAGCCTTTGCGATTGACATTGGCGAAAACACCAACACCGAAGTATACTTCAGTCTCCGCGTTAAGAAGAATCGATCCTGGGGCGCTGTTGGCCTTGGAAGCGAGGATATGCCCGGAGCCCTATTCCTCATGGTCTACAAGAGCCGGACCACCAACAATGTTACATTCTCCCCGCGACTCGCCTACGGTCATTACGAGCCTTATTATTGGGATGAGATGGATTACGAAATCCTTAATACCACAGGAATTATCGACGATCACATGGTGGCCACGATTCGCTGCAAAAGTGGATGTCGCAGTTGGCCATCACATGGTGGACAGAAGGGATACCTCGATGTTTACGATCACGATAGCAAGGCCGTGTTCGCTTTTGGGCCAAAGGAGGATTACTACAGTGACGATACGGACGCACCTTTGAAATATCATGCAGGATATGGCAGTTTCTCCCTCGACATCAAACGAACACACGGGGAATCCGAGCTACCATCTCTTAGCGATTCAACAAAGGATGTTGGATCCGAGCTCATCTACGCGACGAAGGCCAAGCCAAACTGGGCATCACCGCTTCACGGAGTTTTTATGGTCTTATCGATCATATTCCTCATGCCAATTGGCGTTGTTCTGCTAAGGTCTGGAGGCTGGGTCAAGTGGCATGCTGTGAATCAGTCCATTGCGACTCTGGGTGTCTTGGCAGGTTTCGGTATTGGTGTTGCGAACAGTTTCTATTACCAAAGAGTAAGTATATCCCGGATATTCTAGGCCTATCGCTCTCACACGTTATAGTCTCGAAGTTTTGATGATCCTCACCAAATTATTGGATTCGTCGTCACTGGCTTATTGCTTGGGCAGTTTGGACTAGGAGTAATGCACCATACTCAGTACAGGAGAACACAGGCCCCAACCAAGTACGGCAAGTTTCATCTTTGGGTTGGCCGAATCATTCTATTCCTAGGCACTTTGAACGCCTTCCTGTAAGTTTTCACATACACACATCGGTTGCTCATCGCTAATCAACATCAGCGGCTTCACCTTTGCTCTGAACAGAAAATTCGGCATGCTCCTCGCTCTTCTCATCATCTTTATCTGCATAAGCAGCCTCATCTTGATCTATGGTCGTCGATACATGGACAAGCGCCGTCTTGGACCCCGTGGCCCTGGTCTGGCTGGCCCTCAACAATACAGTGCACCGCCATGGCGGGAGCCTCCTCCCCAACACATGGGTTATCCATCCGATCCTCCGCCAGGTTACCAACCGCCATCGAACCAGGCCGGGCTTGGCCAGATGTCACCTGCATTGCGATCACCATCCCCATGGCAATCAAATGACAAAGATGACGAGGCGGATTTGAACCTGGGTCGTGAGCAGCGACCGAGGGAGTTCTGATCAATACGATGAATTTGGGTACTGGAGTTGGCGTTTATGTTAGCTTTCATGCAATAAAACGAATAACATGAGTGATCGAAACATTGGTGGTCGACATTGGTGATAAAGAGTGAGACTGTGACACGTTGTCTAGGTACCTACGCCAGCCTGGCCTGAAACTGGGAAATAACACACTGTTGGCTGCAAGGTCAAGTGGGATGGAATAACAACGGACTTACCACCCTAGCCGAACACAAGGTATTCACCTAAGAACATAATCAAAATAAATTAGTAACTCACGCTTACACTGAACATGGTTGAATGCAGCCTCGATATGAGTCTTATAAGAGGAATCAGGATATTTAGAGGTTTAGGGTAGCTTGAAAGTCATTTCTAGCATTTAAAGAAATACTGTATCAAGCTTCTTTCTTCTCTCTCTTTTTTTTTCTGACGGGAACTCATAACTTTTCAAAAGAGTACTATCTTTCGTCACACTTGGGGTGGTTGCTTTACGTTGTTCTGTAGGTAGTTGGACTGATGTTTTGCCGACCTCGGATCGTGATGCCCTACTTCAACTCATCGTCGTCTGAAAATTAACTCAACCAAGGCTAACAGTTTTCCTTCTCCAACATCCAGTCACCATAACACATCTGAAGCGGCAGCCATGTCAATTAAAGTTAACGTTGGAAACCTGAGCCTCCGTATCGGGGCGGTTCCCCTGACACAAGAGGAATTCGCGCCATTTGGAGATGTTGTCTCCAACCCACGACCAAGCCTTCTTCCATCAAGACACGCATCTGAAGGTGGTTCTCTCCCATACAATGGCACCACTGCCAATCAAGGAACAGCAATTCGCTATGCCGATGTCAGCAAGCCTCAGTACCTCCTCTCGCAGGCTCCCAGCAGCAATGGCCGGCTGATCATGAGCCAATTCGTCTGCGAAGCAAGAACTTTGGCACCTGGAAGCGATGACGCTTCGCAGAGCGAGTTCGCCGTCAACATTCTTGAACGGCACCCATTCACTTCTCAAACCTTTGCTCCACTCGCTTCTACCGCTTCAAGCTACTTGGTCATCGTGGCCCCATCTCTGCCACCATCTCCCCAAGACGATGGTCTACCTACACCAAGTGGAGAGGGTCTACCCGGTAGAGGTCTCCCTGATCTGAAGGGGTTGCGCGCGTTTGTAGCAACAGACCGCCAGGCTGTGACTTATGCGGCTGGGACATGGCACGCTCCAATGGTAGCTCTTGGTAAAAAGGAGACAACGTTGGATTTCCTAGTTGTTCAGTTCTCCTCCGGCGTTGACATTCAAGACTGTCAGATCGTCACGTTTGAGGGGCATGACTCCAAAGAACCTGACATCAAAGTCCGCGTTCCGCGACGCGGAAGCGTTACCGCCAAACTGTAGCTAAACCAAGACATACGATATTTGAGGATCACACAATGCGTAACTGGAGAGTGGCTGAGTAGAGATAGCTGAGCATGCAATTTAAAATATATGCTTCATTTACCTGAGGACTACATAGTATGTTGCGAAGCCACTGTGCTTTAATGTTTCAGCTAATCTTGAATGGAACAAGCTCAGGTTGGCCAATATAGTGATTGTAATAATACGATGATAATAATAGTTCTCAGATCCATACATAACCACGTTGCCAAAAGCTTAGTCATCGTGCATTCCTATCCCACGATGTCTTTTAAACTGTTCTCACAAGTAGCTTGACTAGATAGGCACTTAGGGCTATGCGTTCATCAATTCTATCATTCTTGCAGAATCCCGGGTAACATTGTAAATCAGTCGACAGTTACAACAAGCTGTGTTGTATCCTGAGCCAAGATGACAGCCCAATTTGAAGCGGCGGAGGCTCGCAACAAGCTGGAGGATCTCTCTGGAATTCAGCTTGAGCCGGGCGAGAACCCATACAACGCCCTCATCAAAGCCTGCAATGATGATCCGGTAAGTGACTGCCATCCGAACCTGTTCCCAAACTCACAATACCAGGCTGAGGTCCAAACTCTGTACTCTGTCCACCGGACAAAGAGGAACGGCCAGCAAGCGGAGAAGTTTTTGTCCTCTGATTTCAAGGAACTGGTTATTGACCAGACCCTCCTGCGGCTTGAAGATCCGACTGTAGAGCCGGGATTTCGTGACAATAGGAACTGTTTGGTCATCTGGGCCAGACCCCCAGACCACGTTATCCGCTTAGCCTCCAAGGTCAATGAGTTGCTCAAGAAAGCCGCACCTAGTGAGAGGATTCAGTTCCATAGTCAGCTGGCATATACTGACCGTTAAAAAGGTGTCTGGCTTATGCCTTCACATAGGATGCATTTGACAACCCTCGAGGTTGCATTTTCCAAAACACCCCAGGAGATTGCTGCCATTGTAACGACTCTAAGACCAGCTATCCCTGACATTGTGAACTACCCATATCGTCACAGATCTCGCCTTGTCAAGCCTATGGTTTCGTATGATTTGTCTGCTTTTGCCCTCTCATTTCTTCCCGCGTCAGGTGAAGCAGCACTATCCCCTCCTCTCACTGAGCCTGTTATTACAGAGGGGATCACACAGGGAGACGATTACACATATCACCATCTGCGTCGCGACGTGTACGACAAGGTACAGGAAAGCGGCGTCGTTGTTGGGTCAAGATATCAAGTTCCCAGTGCGCACATCACACTTGGACGCTATCTGAATCACGATGATCATGACACGCCAGAGAAGAGGGCAGCCTGGGTTAAGGCCATCGATGAGGTCAATGCATGGCTAGAGAAGGAGGTCTGGGATAGTCCTGACTCCGAGTATAATGCTGGTGAGTGGCTAGTCGGCCACGAGAGAGGACTGGATGCACGAAATGGCACACTGTGGTATGGAGGCGGCAAGACTATAATGCTGGGCGAAGGATTTTAGAATAGCATCAGAGCTTTAGACCTATAGACCGATACATCGTTGCTTTTTTTTTTGAAGCTTGCTCAACCATAACCATGACTCACGGGCCCTGTCCCGCTTGACGTTGAGGGGTAATGGCTCAACCTTTGAAAAATGGTTCATCACCATGGATGCACCTTACTGTGCTTTGCTTCAAGAATTTGTGTTGGTGCAACACAGAGAGTTTTTTTTTCATTCGTTCCCTATGAAACATGCCTCAAATCGAGGGCGTGTACCTCCTTTCGCCTGTGTCCATCCATGATGCCCAAATGCCGTCGAGGTAAGCATAGAAATGGTGACCCTGAGACCCCAAACACAAAGCACTTAGAAAACCAGAGCAGCACCCTTCGTCTTCTTGTCACCACTGTTTTCAATGTCAGTATATCGCAAAGTCCATGGAACCAAGAGATCACGTACCCAAGCTCGAAGTGCTTGCATCGCTTCAGCGCCAGCTGGAGCTTGGTCTTGCACTTGACACACTCCAATCGCAGAACGACCTTCTTGGTAGTCTTGGCCTTCTTGTGGAAGACAGGCTTGGTCTGACCACCATAACCGGACTGCTTGCGGTCGTATCGGCGCTTACCCTGGGCGAATAGGGAGGCCTTGCCAGCCTTGTACTGGGTGACCTTGTGCTGGGTGTGCTTGCGGCACTCCTTGCCCTTGCAGTAGGTGTTTCGGGTCTTGGGAATGTTGACCTGTAGGAGCCAGAATGTTAGCCATCTGGTGATGTTCGAGGGTCAAGACCTCTGTCCAGATCTCAGCATATCGAGTCGCACGGCCCCAAGACAGTTTGAGAGAAAGATTGAATCGTCGGAAAGGGCCCCAAGGGCGCAAAAGGGACTCCTTCAACAAGTATCGTCGGTTCGAGGTTGGACGTGGTCGTTTCGAATTCGTGTCCCTTCATGTTGCTCCGAAAATTCATCCCACTTTCTCCCAGTGACTGTCATGGTGCGCGCGAAGTCGAATAGCTTGAGATAACGGCATTGCATTCTCAACAATACGATGGTGATATTGTTGATGCTGGCAATGAGGTCTTGGGCTGCAGCGACGTACCATTTTGACGACGATGTACGGTGCCGTTCTTTGGGTGTGTTTGGTGATGCAAGTTCCAAAGACTGGCTAAATTGAGGTTTTGGTGTGATTTCTCACTTTGTGGGCAGCCGACCCTACCTAGCCCCATCGGGCGGTGTGGCACTCGCTTGCATCAGCCACATTTGACGCCTGAGATCCAGGGCAACCATGATTGGCGCCTCATCTCGGTGAGGCGAAGGTGAAGGTACGTACCGTGGGTCTCACCCCACGCTGATGGAAAGGACAGACTACGACCGGCCCCACCATTCCATCGGGATCTTGAGCGCATCCAAGGTGTTCTCAAGGGACATTTTCAGGGACAACAGTTATCCGCATACAAAAGACGTTTCTAAAGTGTTAACCAAAATGGACCCCTACTCGACCGAAGGTGAATTAATCAACATTCACAACCATTTCCACCAGGGCCAGTATCAGGAAGTCATTGACTTTGATACCTCTTCCTTCTCCCCTGACAACGCTCTGCCCGCGCGCATTCTCGTCCTTCGAGCTCGATTAGCTCTCGGACAGGCAGAAGATGTTCTCGATGATGTGAAGGGTGATCCTCAGCCTGAGCTCCAGGCTCTGGGTGCTCTTGCTCAGTTCAACTTGGGCAAGGCCGATTCTGCGGTGGAGACGATCGAGAAGCTGGCCTCTTCAGCTGCCGACAACACAACGGTCCAGGTTATCGGTGGAACGGTTCTCCAAGCTGCCGGAAGATCTGAAGAGGCTCTTGCTCTTCTCACTCAACATCAGGGAAGCCGTAAGATCACCCAGAGGCTGGATGACGCTTAGAATGCCGCTGACCGCTATTATTCAGTCGATGCTGTCTCTCTTATCGTCCAGATCCATCTGCAACAAAACCGAACCGACCTCGCCCTCAAAGAAGTATCTGCCGCAAGGCGATGGGCTCAAGATAGTCTCTTGGTCAACTTGGCCGAGTCGTGGGTTGGATTAAGAGTCGTAAGTGTTCTACATATTCGGGAAGTACATTCACTGAGAAGGTGCAGGGTGGTGAGAAGTACCAGCAGGCGTTCTACGTCTTTGAGGAGCTTGCCCAAGCTCCCTCGACCTCATCAGTTCGAAGTCTTGTCTCGCAAGCTGTCTGCGAATTGCACCTCGGCCGAACAGAAGAAGCCCAAGCTGCTCTTGAACAGGCCCTGGAGAAGGACGCTAATAATGCCGATGCGATTGCCAATCTGCTGGTTCTCAATGTCATTTCCGGTAACCAGTCCGATGAATTCGCGCAGTCAGTCCCGTTGTCTGATTCCAATTTTGAAAAGACTTGTACTAATATCTACTATAGGAAGTTGAAGAGCGTCAAGCCTAACCATCAATACTTGGCCGACTTGGAAGAGAAGAGCGCTCTTTTTGATAAGGCTGCCACAAAGTATAGCCCCAAGGTGTCGGCATGATTTGGACTAGGCGTATGAATTGCTAAAATTAATGGCGGGCGCATTATTCATAAAGGATTGGACCCCCTTGGCAATGATTATTGAGGTCTGGAACGTATTTTACCATGTTAACCGACAGCACGTTCGAGTCACAGAAACGCAACATCGGGAGAGCGGGGATCATCAAAATATATCCGGACCTATTACTGCAAAGAATTAAATTTAACACCAGCAAAAGCATGTACAGCCACTTGTGTGTGGACTTGTAATTCTTAACCTTCTACATGAAGGGTGTTCGTTGGGTATGGGGCAAGCTATCCTTGCAAGATCTGGCCTGGTTCTGGAGACCACTTTGGGCGAGATAGACCTTCTTTTGGACCATTGGCTAAAGGACGAAGCCATGAGGCGAGTGACCATTGAATGTTCTCAAGCTATTGAATCTCCAAACATATTTTATCCATGATATCGTCGCGAAACACAAGTCGGGATACCTATCAGTTAGGTGTCTACATTGCTAGGTCCTCCTTCGCTGGTAGCATCCAGGAACAGGATGCGTTGCTAAAACAGGTTCAGAATGCACCAGGAGATAATTTATTCGGGTGAGCAGGTGTATTCCCTCGCTCAAAAGTTCAGAGACTAGAGCATCCATTTCAGAAAAGGGCCCGTCAATTCTTTCTATGCCGTCAATCCTAAACCCCGTGATGAAAAGAGAACAAGTCTCATGTACCCATGTCATAAAGCATCATGACGGCCCACACGAAACTCCCGAATTTCCCAACCAAGATGTCATCATCATTCGCTAACGCTCGACTCGGCACTGAAGCCATCTTACAAAATCTTTTGTCTAAGCATTGGACGCAATTGCTCATTTCTTCTTGTTGGGGAACTTGGGAGCGCCAATGTCGCTGCCTCGCAGCTTGACATTGAGCACTCGTTCCATGGCGCCAAGCACTTTCTGATCGGGGGCGGCAGTGCCTCGCTCGAAGTCGGCTACGATAGCCTGGGTGGTGTTGCATCGGGTAGCGAGATCCTTCTGTGTCATCTTGGGCTCAACTTGCTGACGAGCCTTGGAGATAACATCGCCAACAGTCTTGCCGATGGTGTTGGGCTTGATGATGTCGTCGGATCGATCGACCTTTGTCATACGCTGACCCTCTGGTGCAGAGCCCTACGAAATCGTTAATGTGTGTTACAAAGAGACGATTTCTGTACGTACGGCATTGGCAGAGGAGTACTTCTTCTCGGTAGTGAGGCCGCCAGCTCGTTGGGCAGCGTTCAGAGCAGCCTTTCCTCGAACAACAGTCTCTCGCTGGGCGGCGCCAGAGCCACGGGTGCGGCTACCAATCTTGGTGGCGGTATCCCAGTCATCCATTTTGAAGATATGAAGGTTTGTCAAAAGAATATGTGTGTTTTAAAGCGAGATTTGACTCGATGTGACGATGTGAAAGGTGTGTTGTTTGTTGTGTATGTAAGAATGGAATATAGATTAAGCTGAAGTTCTGGCCGACAAAGAATTTATGGGGATGGTGATGGAATGGGCGGAGGGGTTTTAGGCCTGGCCTTGGGTCACTGAGTCAATCGGCGGGGGACTATAATTGGCACCGTGCATCGGTGGCCTCTCTTTGCATGCGCCTTGTTACTCCCGTGGTAAGGCTGCCTCGGATTTGGTTACCAAGCCCTGGAGATAACAGTGCGGCCAGACGTCTGCGTGCTAATTTTCATTCGCACCGCCACTGGTGGCCCATGTGCAGCTCATAGAAGGTGCTAGACTTTCTGGACGGGACCGGGGAACCCTTTTTTTAGACGGGGCACGGAGACGCCTATGTCGGTGCTGATGCAAGATGGGTCCGGTCTGACTGAGTGAAAAGATTCAATGACGATGAAGCGGGACCTGACGTGCCTGACAACTGACCTGCTCTCGTGCTCATTTATCTTACACTACCTAGCTACTACCTATAGACTCGTAAATATTCCGTCGTTCCTGATATGATGACTAATGACGGGACAAATCCTTGGAGCTCAAATGCTTACTGGCTAGTGTGTCGATAAAATGTCCATCCCGTAATGCTAACTACAGTCAGTACCTTGATGGGCAGGTTAACCTCGGACTTCCTTCGTAGATATTTGAACAAAAGACCTCCAAGGTCTGGTGCTTCAGTCCTCATTTGCCTTTTCTCTTGCATCACTCACCCGCCAAGCTGATGTATTTTCATCTTTACGCCTTTTGAAACAGAGATGCATCATCGACCCCTGGCTTGTCTATGGACGGCTTGTTCGATGGATCGCCGCTTCTACCGGCCGTCCTCGCTGCAGACTTGGTTGATGTATTCTTGAAGAGATGGTGGGATCTTTTTGCCATCTTGGCTAAAGCTTGGGTATATCTTGTACTTGCAGAGAGATTCGATATTCTGCTTACCCTAGGCTTTGTCGCTTGGAGGCATGCTTCTGTGATGACCTCGCTTTTAAGTCACGTCAACTTACAGTACATCACGGATGCCGCCTTTGCAATATGCGGGATAACTCTAGTTGGCTACTGCGTCTCAAGGTGGATTGTCAACCGCAAGGTCAATCCCACTGCTGGCGCTGCTCATCCACTGTTAATTCCTGCTCGAATAACTCACCAGAGGTTATATCCCCAGAAACATTCTTTTTCTTATCCATACCTCATGCTTGGCATCCCGATAGGGGTCTCGGATAACACCAATGGAATTAGATTTGAAAATGCTCACGGTCCATGGCTTTGGTTCACACAATTATTCGGATTCTCAGCCTTGTTTGAGATTTGTCCAGCAGATCACCTGCAACGCATACGCTCCGATAATGGCTTGCGTGGAAAATTGGATGCATATCTGGGGTCCGAGGTTTGCTACGCCAACTGACAGTCGAACTCAAACTGACAGGCGTAGGGTATTGATGCTTCGCAATATCCATATGCCTATCTCGTTACTACTGCACAGCTCCGAGGCTTTCGCTTTAATCCGGCAACCTTCTGGTTTCTCTACTCATCGGACAAGGTCCTTGAAGCAATCATTCTGGAGATGAACAATATTTTCAGGGAAAGGCAATCCTATCTTATCGTGGGAGAATCACAGAAAGAAGAAGAAGATCGTGTCATGAACATGGCCCAGAACGACCATGGACTTCAGCGCGCTCAAATAAAAACGACATGGCGAAAGAGGTTTCATGTTTCGCCTTTCAACTCGCGAAGGGAATCATACTCTATACTTGCCAAAGATCCACTTAGGCCTGGAATGGAAGGATTTCGAGGACTTGATATCTCTATCACCCTCTCTTCGTCAGAAGACGAGCCGAACCTTCTTGCGACTTTGCTCTCTGAAGGCAAAGCTATTGACTCCGACAAAATAAGCAATTTAGGGCAGATTGGTTTCTTATTAAGCTGGTTAGGTTCGGTTCTAGCCATTCTTCCTCGATTCATGATGCAATCAACCATCCTCTTCTTCAAACATAATCTTCATTTCTGGTATCGACCTGAACCTTACAAGGAAAGAACAGGACGTTCAGCTAAGTGGATTGAGAAAACTCTTGAGCAAGTATTTCGTGAATACTTGAAGTATCTTGTCCAACAATCAACCGCCCCTGTCACTATTCTATACACACCAGGGGGAGATGCTGAAGTGTCTGAGCAGACATTCATCTCATCCTCCACATGCGGCCCTGAAGACTCTAGTTGCGAGATCAAAGTCAAAGTGTTGTCGCCAATCTTCTATTCACGCTTCGTTTACTATGCGCATGATTCTGAGGCCATCTTTTGCGAGGTGGCTGAAAGCTGTACCCTTTGGACTGACAAGCCGGAACAGCTGACGAGGGTTTTTTTGAAGAAGGGTTCTCCACCTATTCATGCTTCCAATCTGCTTGACTATATGCTCTTTCAGCTCATCAAAAGCCTCAGACGCCGGCCTGATAAGATTGAGAGACCATTGACGTCTACCAACGGACATTTGTCCTCAGTGAAGGGCATTGATATCCGGAAGTTTCGAATTTCATCAATGGATGCCTTTGTTCTTGAACAAGGAGATAAAGAACTCAAAAGCGCGTATTTGAGGTCTGTGGTCCGCCTCTTTGTGGCTGATCGTATTGCTATGAGCAGCGTCAGCCTGCTTAGCATGATGGAGCTCATGGGAAGATTGGTTGTCTCATGGGTGCTGGCATTACTCATTACGCAGACCATCCTGGGCTTCTCATGATACTCATAATCTCATGGACAGAAGTATGGGAAGCGCCGGTCCCTTATTGATGAAGAACAGGAAATTCGGTCAAAAAGCCCACCCATCATTCACGGGTCAACATCCTGCTTACACCATACGTCCGGGTCAACTGATATTGATACGATTGAGAGACGATTTCAGAACAGGCTATAATAAACCAACGACGAGTTAAGACCATTCGCTGACCAACCAGCACCACGAACCATAAAGCCCAGGCGTTGGGGTCTCCACCTGCCCCGCGAATCTTATCATCGTTCCGATCAAGCTCTCACTGATGTGAGCTTGCTGTCTCGAATTTGAAATCAAGAGCTTCTTAAAGCTCTAGGAGTTGCTTGACCGACAGTAGTCTACTGCCAGAATGTCATTACAACACCAACTATACAATAACCATAGCCTACCCCTGCATATGTTGGGTATAGGTATTCCAAATTGTCTCAATTCCAAATACTATACGCATGAAGCCCCGCTTCATGCTTCGTCCCCATTGAGACTACGGATACTCCCTGAAGAATGACAAATATCTCTGTCAACGTCACACAGCACTTGGTAAGAGTGCCAGGGGGGCCCAATGAACTAAGGCTGACGATAGGACTCGCCAATGGGATATGGCTGCGTACCGGTAATGGTATCCCAACGATCTGAGTATCTGGAATTAAACGATCGTTTGGACGAACTTGAGTATTTGGAAGTGTCAGACGAAGGGTCCAACACCTCTTAATAGGCTAGCGCTCATGTCAAGCCTTGTTACCAACACGAAGCTGTACACAAATTATCGAAGCATGCCGCTCCAGTCTACGCCCGTCGTTCCTAGCTCGACAACACATCCTTTGTTAACCTGAAGATCATCCTCAACGTCATCCAATCACCGCCCCACCACCAAATTCCCGGTCTTCGTTCATCATACTGTACCGTTACTCCCAACACTCCCCATCACTGACAAGAGTTCGGGATTTCCCTTTACCCCGCTATGGCCCCTCATGGAGCTTTCGAGAGCTCCTCTAGAGATTTTAAAAGCTCTCTGTTCCCCGTTCTAGAGGGTATCTTTTGGTTCAGACATCAATCCCCGACTTCGTATAACATCTTATCAACATACTCTTGAACAATCACAATGCCTCTCTCTGGACACTGCCTTTGCAAAGCCGTCACCTACAAGGTTGACGATGAGCCTCTTCTGGTTGGCTACGATCACTGTGACGATTGCCAGCGCCAGAGTGGTTCTACTTACTGTACGTTCCAGCTTCACGAGCCAACGATGCCTAAATAGGTCAGACTGACATCCGTTACTTTAGCTCTCGTGGCTGTTGTCAAGAAAGACAAGCTCACAATCACCGGCCCCGTCAAGACCTACTCTGGCAGCAAGGGCTCTTCAGGCAACATTGTCCACCGACTCTTCTGCCCTGAGTGCGGCTCTCCCATCGCCCACGACCCCGATGCTGCTCCTGAGATCATTGCGCTCAAGGCCGGTACTCTCGACACTGAGATCAAGAAGAACCTGAAACCTGTGAGTATAAACCTCCCATGTCGATGCTACTGGTAACTGACATTGACCGTAGGACACCGAGATCTGGACCGTCAGCAAGCTGCCCTTCTGCCAGGAGCATCTTGCTAAACCCTTCTCTCACATGCCCGAGTAAAAACATGACACTGGAAGGATATGGCAGGGAAGAGTTAGCGAGTTGTAAAGAAAGGCTACGTACCTACAAATAGTTCACAAAAATACAAAAATCTAAGCATAGTCACAAGCTGTAAAATAAGGATTGATGTGGTTATCACAAGTTTATCTAATAATTCATTCTCTAGATAGTCTATGTGCGATTGAATTGACCAAATGCTTTTTTCATTAAACCCAGAAGTCATCCGACATTAAATCATGATAGTAAGTCTACACCCTCATACAAGCACAACACATAGCACCACCATCATCACCACTGTGATAGCGGGCTTCTCATAGGCGGCTGCATCGGCCTTGGGAAATTCCTTCTGTATACGGCCGGTTTCACTGGCCTGTGCTGTGAAGCAACTCGCTGTGCCGCAATCATATCCGTCAGGACAGCATCCAGCCACTGGGCCGGCATCTCGACCACAAAGGAACCAGCCATCTGCGCAAGTTGATGAGGGTCCTGGGGCAGGTGGAGCATCGGTTGCAAGGATGACCACAGTCGCGCCGTCTGAGATGATGGTTGTCGAAGGAGCAGGGCAATCATGAACATCACAGTTTCGACCTGTTCGACAACACCCGCCGCCGTGAGTGGCGAGACAGCCGTAGAAGCCTGTGGGACAGCCTGTTTGGGTCTCCCCATCGTCGCTTGATGTTACCGAGGTTCCAGTTGGGCGATATGGAGCGATTCCAGTGGCTGAGCCTGTAGCTGGAGGAGTCGCGGTCACAGTACTATCCTCTGTCCCAGACTCGATTTCAGTTTCGGACTCGGTTGTGGTTCCAGCTTCGGAAGTCGTCGTGGGCTCTCCAGTGGTCTCAGCCTCTGTTTCCGTCCTGGTAGTAGGTTCGACTGTGGAAACCTCTGAAGTTGTTACTTGAGAAGTTGTGAGGACTGTCGTTTGATCTTGAGTTGCGGTTCTCGTCTGTGTAGCTACAGCACTTGGGACGCCTGATTAAAGTCAATATTGGTCTACGAAGCATTGCGGGTATTCACTCACAGCCCAATCCTTGACAAACGTATCCCGGAATACAGCATCCTCCGCCAAGTTCTGCAGAGCAACTCGTAGCTCCATCAGGGCACGCTCCAACACCTCCACCACAAGACGCACCGTCAGGGCAGCATGCGATGCCTCCCGCCACAGTATTGCCAACATTCACACAATACGTTCCCTCCTGGCAGCACTTGACTTCGGAATCAATGTCAGAGCAGCTGTTCATCCCCTTAGGACAAGACGACCTCCTCTGTAGCAACGCCAGTGCCTCTGCGGCTCGGCGCAGCAGGCTCTCGTGAGACTCTTCACTATGAGGAGCAAACGCTGGACGGTAGAAGCGCTCTGTGCCATTGAGGCTCAGGAGCTTGTCATCTTGCTTATCAAGAAATGATATGGCAGCAGCGGCAGCTTCGCGCGGAGTAAGACCGTGTAGTGGTGCGAAAGCGAGATGCTCCCTGAGGAGCTTGTCGTGCGAACCAGGGGCGACCTTCCGGATAGCTATTGGCGAACCTGATTCAGCAAGGGCCTGAGGAGGATGTAATGTAGCGAGACACAACAGAAGAGCCGATATGAATCGCATTGCCGTATACTGAGTAAGTTGTGGAAGGCTCAGGCTCAACTTGTCTTGCGTTGAACTCTCGTTGGGCTCATAGAATCTCAAGCGACAGCGGTGAACAAATAAATGTGTGATGGGTGTTAATATTATGAATGCTTACACCGCCAAACAGTATGAGCCAAATACCGTTGCCAGACACAGGTTGAAGAATGTCGGGAATTACCACTGGGCTATTGTTGAGGTTATAAGGTACACGTTGAACGAAACAGGGCATGATGCTGCCGATGGGGTATGACAACGCCAACTCAGCGTTTTTTTTAGGTGGCTTGTAAATAATTAATTGGGTGGCTGGGCGACGGTTAGGTGAAGATATGATGGGGCCACAAGATGGCTCTATCGCTACCTAGACCGATCCAAATGCTTGCTCCAGCACTCAGTTAATTTAAAGTGAGGACATCAATGCTAGGGATAGTCTGTAGCGCTGAAAGTTATACGTATCAGACTGTGTCGTAGAGATACGTCTGTATGTACGGGCAAAGGAGGAGTCATGATGGCGGGCGGCGTGGCGTGCAACGTCATGCAGGGTCTCACAAGCTTAGCATCTTAGCCTCATGAGACGTACTCCAGCAACTACAGTAACAATCCAGCTAGTTCTCCATAATTGCTTAGTACTTAATAAGTTAGATATTGTTTCCCATATGTGTTTCATCTAGTATACATCGTTATCGTACATGATTTTCTATGTTCCCAATGACTAACACCCAAGCGCCACCCAACCATCGCGTTATACATCTAAGTTATTACAATAGCGGCACCCAGGCCTAGTCTAATGCTCTTAGAACACCAAATCGTCGGATTTATCGAGCTTTTGATCGTCAGGTTGTTTTTGCTCTGCCTCCGTAGCAGCATCAGCTTCAGATTCCTCGCCAGTGGTCTTTACTTCAGAAGAATCGTCTCTTCCAGCTTCAATGAGCTTCGCCCCAGTCTCCGTTATCATGGTCTTGCTCTCTGCATCGTCAGAACTGGCCTCCGAATCAGCCAGTCTTGCCGTAGGCTCAGCTGGCTCTGGTGCAACAGTCACAGGTTCCTTAACGAAGGAATGACACAAGAGGCCTGCCGCAACACTGACGTTCAGACTATCCACACAGCTTCCTTGAACAAACCGAGGTACTGATAACTCATAGTCGGCAGCAACCTTGATAGCTTTCGAAAGTCCATAGCCCTCATTGCCAAGAATTAGTAGACACGGATGTTCATTCAGTGGGCTTTGTGCCTCAATCGTATCTGTTGACACGAACTTGCTTCCATGCTTTCGAACAAGCTTTCGATCAGGCGGCGCCACCGCAGCGTATGATTTCCAGCCAGCTTTCTGGGAGTCTTGGATGAACTTCACAGGATCATCCACCGCGAACAATGAAACTTCCTCCACTGCACCAGCAGCGGACTTGAGAACAACAGGTGTGAGTGTGGAGGATCCCCGGTTCGTGATACCGACGGCATCAACGCCGAGATAGCTCGCAGTGCGGATGATACCGCCTAGGTTTCCCGGGTCGATAATTTCATTGAGCAGCAAGACAAAAGGCTTGGGCATCACATCATTGGACCGTCGGATAAATGTGTCGGTGCCATTGACCGATGCCTCTTCCTTGGTTTGGTGATCAAGGTCCACGTGAAAGCCCAGGCGACCAGGACTTTCCTCTAACTTGCCAAGAGATTTGATGGGGATCTGGGGAAGAGGGGAGGCTTCAAGCACGAAGCCATTGTGAGGTCGCCC